TCTCCGGCATCAGTCCTGTGCACGCCTACTCCATTCTCTTCGCTGGCTGCGTAGTTCATGGCAGAGACGTACCATGACTTGCTTGGCTGCTCCTTGCCAGTGGCCACAGGGAATGTTTCCAATCATTTGCTACCTCTGAGAGGCAGGCTCTTGCCCGAGATGTCTGTGGGATGAGTTCCTGAGCGCACGGGTGCTGTGGAGAGGGCAGCTGCACACGGGAGTCGGACAGATGAGGCAGAGCAGCCGACCAGCCGCTTTGGACGGCTCCAGGGGGGACCCTTCTCTCCTCCCGAGGCCGGACAAGTGCATCCGAGGCTCTGGAGGGGAAAGCAGCAGCGCAGAGAGGAACGGGGGCCTCTGGGGTTGTCCGAGGTCCTACTCCCCCACACGGCGAGTTCTGCGTTTTTCTTACCAGCAGGGTACATGAAGAATGGAAGCTTCCTGGATCTCTCTTCCCACGAGTGAGGTAGGACATCCTTCACGGTTTAAGGTTCATTTGCTTTGTGTTTTCATGAGCTGCCTTTCCATTTGGCCAGTTTTACTGCTGTATTCTAGACAGGCTTGACCACCCAAAGATCAAAAGCATGTTTTTCTATTTCTTATTTTTTCAAAGGTTTGGTCCATTTTAAAACGAAGGTAGTGATCTGTTCTAGATCAGCAACTAATAATCCTCAATACCATGTATTGTGTTTGTGTACGTACTTATCTCCCTTGGCTTGTTTCATTCGATTTATCTGCTTCCTCAACTCCACCCTCGATGAGGTTTTATAAATGAATGAGCCCCTGTTGTTCCCTTGGGACCTCAGAAATGTCCCTTTAACTTCCCCTCTGTAAATGTCAGTAATAGTAGCTGTGTCTCACTGGACTTTGTGACAATTCAATGAAGCTATCTAAAATTAGAAAATATGCACATAACAGATCTTCAGAGAAATGAATCTCCTTTATCGACTTGAGTTTTAATTGACATGTAAAAACTCCCTGGGTACCACGTGACGTTCAGATGCATTCTCACTGTGTAAATCCAAGTCAGGGTAAGCATGTCTGTTTCAAACATTCATTTCATGGTGAAAGACTCCGAACTTTTCTTCTCGCTTTTTCTGAAAAGGCAAAACAAAACTTCTCCCATCTAATTGTAACTTAGTACCTGTTAATTAACCGTTCTCCATGGCTTCCCACCTCCTGCTCTCTCCCAGCCTCTCATAACCATGATTGTACTCTCAAAGTCTACCGGATCAGTAGTGCAAGATTCCATGTGAGTGTTGAGACCATGTGGTACTTATCCTTTGCGCCTGGCTTACTTCACTTGATGCAATGAGCTCCAGTTCCAACCATGTTGTTGCAAATGACAGGATTTCATCCTTTCATGGCTAAGTAGTATTCCAATGTGCATATGGACCACATTTTACCTGTCAGTGGGTGGAGCCCGAGGTTGTTGGCACTGCTCGGCAGCTGTGAGCAGTGCTGCAGGTACTGGAGTGCGGTGGTCTCTTCAGCCGATTGCTTCCACGTCCTTTGGATGGATACCAGGAGTGGGATTGCTGGCTTAGCGGGTACTTCCATTTTTCGAGGAACCTCCCTAACACTCTAAATGGCTGCACTAATTCACATTCCCACCAACAGTGTGCAAGGACTAGGAGTCCTCTGCATCCTCAATACCACGCTGTCACTTGTCCTTTTGGTAATGGCCATTCCAACGGAAGTGAGGAGATACCTCATCGTGGTTTTGGCTGGCGTTTTCCCGATAGTGATGCTGAACGCTCTTTCGTGTAACTATTAGCCATTTGTACGTTTTCCTTTGAAAAGTATCCATTTAGACTTATTGCCCATTTTCAGCCAGATTGTTTTGCTACTGCGTTCCTTCTGTGTTCTGGTTATTCACCCCAAGTCAGATGTATAGTTTGAAAATATTCTGTTCTGTGGGATTCTCTCGTTTCCTTCGCTTTGCAGCACCTCTGCAGTTGATGATGTTTGGTCTATCTTTGCTTTTGTTCCCGGTGCCTTTGGGTCTTGGCCTGAAATTATTCTTGCCTGACCTATTGTTCTGAAGTATTTCCCCTATGAGTTCTTCTGGTAGTTGGATGATAGTTAACTGCCTGTGCTAGAGCTCTGATTCCCATGATTTCTTTCAGACGGACAGGCTGGGTGTGCACAGTGAGATGTTTGTGCCACCCTGGGCCCTGGGCAAGCTCATCCGGGACCTCCATGGTCTCTCTGGCTTTGTCCTGTGATGACGCCCATGTAGCCTGCAGGGATGTCTCTGAATGGACACTTCTGCTCCTGTTTGTGTGTGGAAGCCGGTAACAGTGGTGAATTCCTAACGCTCAAGGTTATATTTGGGTTTTAAAATACTTTTAAACCTCTGGGGAAAAAATTACAAGAACATGAGCGGAAATGTGAAGGAATGGGAGAACTCTGCTTAACAGCATTCGTGGGCTTCTCCTCTCTAATACCTGGAAGAAGTTGAAAGGGGAGAGGGGTGAAGTTTGAATTCCTCAAGCGTGAGTAAGCTGGTGTGGAGTCCCTTCTTAGCTCCTCTCACTTTATTCTCTGTGGCGAGTTGGACTTCTCGGGGGAAGCCCACTTGCAGGTTGTGGCGAAGGCAAAAGCAACACCTGAAAGAGAGCGCGGAAACTGCGCGCCTTCCTCGGAGGTCAAAGCATGTGAGCTGGTGCCTTCTGCAGAGGAAGCGCGCGATCTGCGGCCTCTGGACAGCGAGGGCGCGTCTCCCTGGCCAGCCCCACCCTCCCAAGGTCATTTTGTCTGCAGCCTGGCGGGAAGTCAGGCTTTTATCCAGGCAACATCTTGGCGTGGAACCTGGTTGATGTGTCCATCCAAAGCGTGCCCCGGCATGGCAAGAGGGGACAGATGGGGACCCATGCTGTCCCCAAGTCTGAAGTCACGGCTTTCAGTCAGCCTCTCAGCTGTTCGGGCTTTTAGCACTATGGTAACTAGGTTATTCAGCTTCTAAAGCAGAAGACGTGTCTGCGTGTGATTAATGCCTTAACAGGACCACAAGCATAAATTAGGAATGTCCCAGGCAAACCTAAATAAATGGGCAACCTAATTATCTCCTACGTTTCCATGATAAATCCAAATATATTGTGACATACTGTAATATATACCCTGCTTTTTCTCCTTTGCAATAAAAACCTGACGTTATCTTTATTGCCAAGACTAAACGCTTAGTCATACTTTAGCAAAATTAGTATCACTTAGTAATGAATTATTTAATCCCCAAAGACTGTGTTTTATGGTCTGTGCATTCATTCTTACATTACACATGGACATCTAGCTCATGATTTCCGGCCCCCTTATAGGAAGCGGAGGTTGCCTGGGTTTATGACCCAAGTCTGTCGGTAGGGTTATGGCGCTGTGGGGTGCTGAATTCACCCCGACACTGACCACGGCAGTAAAGCAGCAGCTGACACTCCCCAGTTACTGCAGGCCAGGTGCTCTGCTAAGAACTCTGGTCTCAGCTAAGCCTGTCAGCCCTACAAGGAAGGAACTACCATCATCTCCTTCCTCCCAAAAAGGAAGCCCCTGCTTCCCGAATGGGTAGAAGCACAGCCGTGCCCTTGGGCACATCACACTGGCCCTTATTCTTAGCTAAGGGATTGGTCCTGTTTTTCTATCCCATAGCCCGTTAATGCTGACATCAGCGCACACTAATGTGGAAATGTCCCTTTCTCGGTGGCTTTTTCTCAGCCCCGATTGCCCACTGTTCCCACTTGGCGTGCTTCCCGCACAGCTGTGTCTGCAGGCCTCCGTGGTGGCTTCCGTGGAGACGTGTCCAGTGGCGGTCTCCCAGCTGAGCTGCAGTTGTTGCCAGGATGCCACTTTAGGGTGATGACTGCTGTGGGAAACCCCACCCTAATGTTTTCCAACCATGTCTGAGCCTTCCTGGAGGTCTGCAGTCCTGGGTCCTGTGACGGTGAGCTGAGTCGCTGTTCTCTCCCCTTTCTGTGCCTCCATGATGGCTCCAAGGCCCAGAGGAGGAGGCACCCTGGCTCCCATGCCCAGACGGGGTCCGAGAGGAGAGCTATAGCCAGTGCTCATTCACTTCCCCCTACTTGTGGGCAACCACGGGAGGTGCCCCGTGAAAACAAGGGGCCTCTAGTTTAGGTGAAACCTCTTTTTGTTGTATTCCTCACTGTAAGATTCGGGGCATGAAGGAACGCAGCTGTTAAGTGTTGTCTGAGTCGGGAACTTCCTAGGCGTTTTTATCGGCCCCTCCCAACAATGCGTGAGATGAATCTTTCTTCTTCCCTTTTCCCAGAGGAATCTGAGGGTCCAAGAAGTCAGGTGACGTCTACAAGTCCCAAAGCACTGGTCTTTGGATAAATCCCGGAGTAGCGTACCCCTAGCCTCATGTTCTGCTGCCTTCTCCGGCTTCGGGTCAAAGAGCACCCCACCCTTAGCTTCTTTATGTTGGGTTCGGATTTGTCCTTTGAGTGACTGTGTTGAACTTTGAACTAATCCACATACTTTGGCGGAAGAGCTTCAGGGCACCTCACTGAGCAGTCTAGACCCATCTTTGCTTTACTGACCCTGCGTGGATGGAGAGCGGATGGTCATCCTGTCTAATCCACTCAGTTGAACGAGTCCTGGTACGCGGTTCTGGCAAAATGGAAGAGGTGGGTCTGATGCGTACAGAGATTTCCGCCAGTGTCTCCTGTATGGAGAAGTCTGAAGGCACAGGAGCCTGCAGCCCTCCCTGGCGAGCACTGGCAGAGGAACCCCCACCTCACTGTACTCGCAGGGCTGGGAACAGCCTGGGATCTGAAGGCCCTCGCTCCCACTTTTGTAGCTATAGCTAAAACTGGTAGGTGTTACAGGTTTGGGCAAGAAGGTTAACCAAGGTCAGCTCCCCGCCTCCCTGTGTGGCGAGGGGAGTGTGCCATCTGGTTCTGCAGCCCCAGCCTCTCAGGGCCCTGACAGTCCCCAAGGTCACGGTCTCGTCACAGAGCAGTGCTCAGTCCAGGCACATCTGTGTGTTGCAGGGAACTTGGAAGCCAAGCCCTCCTCAGAAGCCCCTGCCTGCAGACCCTTTGAACAGGATGGCCCGGCACTCCAGCACCTCAGCGAGGGCCCTGGCACAGCAGGGGTCCATGCCCCGCCAAGCACCCGTCAGGTTGGTGTGTGGGTGTCTCGCACTTTTGGGGGACAGTGAATTAACCCGAGCTGGGACACGGGCATGGTGGTCTCCTCCATGCTCCTCTGCACTCCCCACGCTGGCCGCAATCCACAGTAGAACTGAAGAAACCAGGAAGCAGTCAACGTGAGCCTCCTATCACAGGCTCACGGGTGGCTCTTAGCCATGGCCCGAATGCACCTGAGAGATCAAGACGAAGTAGAACCAGGTAGTCCATTCCGGAGGGCCACGGCAATGGGAAGGGGCCCAGGCACATCTCCCAAAGTGGCAAGGCTGGACATCCACCTGCAGAACCTTCACCCCCACCTTGGCTGAGCTTGCCAGGCCCTGGGGTCCCAAGACCTGAGGCAGGGTTGGAGGACACAGATGAGACAAGGGGGGTACGCAAAGGTGAGGAAGCTGCCAGGCAGCAGGTGAGCTGGCCTGACGAGGGGCTTCCCCACACAGTTGACAGAAGCAATTGTGGCTCAATGTCACGCGTTCCCAGAGTGGTAGCTTAAGTGGATCGGTTCACTCAGCGGCATGCTGGAGCCAGCTACACTGGTTGGCAAGAGCTATTAAATTTCTAGGAATTTTGCAAACTGGCTATTAAACCTAGCCAATATTAAGGATTAAACTTAGACTAATACAAATTATTTTTTTTTTTTTGACAGGCAGAGTGGACAGTGAGAGAGAGAGACAGAGAGAAAGGTCTTCCTTTGCCGTTGGTTCACCCTCCAATGGCCGCCGCGGCCGGCGCGCTGCGGCCGGTGCACCGCGCTGATCCGAAGGCAGGAGCCAGGAGCCAGGTGCTTTTCCTGGTCTCCCATGGGATGCAGGGCCCAAGCACCTGGGCCATCCTCCACTGCACTCCCTGGCCACAGCAGAGAGCTGGCCTGGAAAAGGGGCAACCGGGACAGAATCCGGCGCCCCGACCGGGACTAGAACCCGGTGTGCCGGCGCCGCTAGGCGGAGGATTAGCCTAGTGAGCCGCGGCGCCGGCAGACTAATACAAATTAAAGCAAAGTTAATGAATGCTCAAAACTTATCACTTCCAGTAATATTTTTAAAGATTTGAGAGAGAAAGAGGTCTCCCATCTGCTGGTTCACTCCTCAGATGGCCATAACGGCTAGAGCTGGGCAAATCCAAAGCCAGGAGCCTCTTGCAGGTCTCCCACATGGGTACAGGGGCCCAAGCAGTTGGACCATCTTCCAATGCTTTCCCAGGCCATTAGCAGGGACCTGGGTCAGAAGTGGAGCAGCTGGGACATGACCTGGTACCCATATGGGAGGCGGTGGCTCAACCCATTACACCACAGCACTGGGCCCCCTCCATGGTAGCTCTTGGGAAGAACATTTGGGATGCAGGAGAAATAGCTGCCTACCACATCTGAGAGGGGAAGCTGGCCAAAGGGTCAGGACAATGGTTCCATTCCTGACTGTCTAAATACAGAGAAGCTGCACCGCATTCCAATTATTTCATTGTGGCTTCCATGTGGACCTGAAAGTTGCTGTGTTCTATTTGAGGAAAAACACTACACGGGCATGATGAGGGGCAGTCCCCCTTTTTCAAATGCCCTTAAGCAAACCTTAGCTCTGCTGGCTGCTGACACCAGCGCGAGCCGATTCTGGTCTCATCCTGCAAATTCGTTTTCGAGGGATCCTGTGTGCCCAGTTTTGTTTGTTCTCTAGAGCCCGGTGCCCCAGTCCAGTAGCTGCGAGGTGCACTCTGGATGGGAAAAGCTAAGCTTTGCTGGGTCTCAGATTCTGAAGACCATAGTAACCCCAAAAATGGCTATTATATATGTAGTTTGCATTGATGACAGGTAAAAATAATACTTAAGATATAAAGGAAATTTGTTAGTAAAATTCTTTTTTGGCATGGCTGCTGGAAAAGTTAGACAGTGTTGTCCTGGGGTCTCTTGGGGTGAGAAGTCTGGCCTTGGACGGGGCTCCTCCGGCAGGAGTTGGTCATAAGCCACGGGGGGATCTTGCAGCCCTGGCAAGAGCGTGGTTCACAGGCCCCAGTGTGAGAGGCAGTGGGAGCTGACCCGGAAGCCACAGAAGTCGTTCTCCTCGGCCTCTGACCGCAGTTTTGTTCTCTCTCTCGATTTGCTCTGAATTCAGACCTGCTCCTAAATGTCCACACCAAGTGCCCAGAACCCACACCACCTACGTTAAGTGAGAAGCAAGCCGCCGCAACAGTGAAGACAGAAGTTTGCACTATCTTCCAGCTCCAGTTGGAGTTGTTTTTATACCAACCCTTAGGAATTCGATGTTTAAAACACCAGTATCTTAAGAACTTTGAGCTACTGCCGTCGGTGCTGTGCTGTGCCTTGGTGCTCTGTCTACTGGCTCAGGTACTTGTAAGTTATTAATTTATGTGGAGAGTTTATTACAGTGCAGTGCGCTGTAGTAAGCATTTTTACCATCACTGAGTTTTCCGTGGAAGGAAGGCTTGATGTGCTTTTAATATTTTAGTGAACTTGAAATATCTTGCTTGCTGGGATTCTGGACCGGAAGTTTACGCTCTGACCAAGGTGCTATTGGAAAGCAGTTCCCCACACTGACCCGTGGTTATGGTGCCTGAACAGCCCAACAGACCCTAAGTGGACCCTCGCGTGATTTTCTGGAATCTCTATCTTGGGCCAGAGCTGGGAAGGCTTCAGGTCCAGGCTGTGCTAAACTTTCAGGGAGACCCTAGGGTCCCTGCTCAGCTGACAGGCAAGCCGCCCAGGGGCTGTGCCTTAAGGCTGGGGGCCAGCAGGGAAGCTTCTGGCTTCTGGTCAGGAAACTTTGGAGAGAACATGGGCTGCAGACAGAAGTCTTAAGATGTGGCCACATGAGGATAGGCAGTGGAACAGTAGGGCAGTCCGAACCTTGACCTTGAGCTGACCAGCCCTGAGCACATTTTGGCGAACAGGCAGAGATAAGCCAAACCATGGGCAGTTGCACAGATCTTAGTAGGAACACCACACATCTCTTTCTGTGGTGTTGCTGCACAGCGTGCCGGCATCAGCACGGGGTATAGAATAGGAAGGTGGTGGTGCTGGAACAGCAGCCCCTGCCCGGCTCTGTGACACCTCCACCTCCTTGCGCTGTTGGGCGCTAAGCAGATCTCCGTGTTGTCTGCTCAGCTGCAGCCCTGCTGAGATGATCCTGTAGGCATGGGACCACAAGTATATTAGGTGTGAACCAGTGCCCAGATATAGTCAGTCTGGCAGGTAAAGTCTCCTTTCAAAACATGGTTCACCTTATGAAAAATCAGCTAGGATCACTGTGCCTGCAGGAAGTGTAACCACCTACACGCCCTGGTCTCTAGTGCGGCCCGTGTCTGCTCTCCCAGTCGGGACGCTGAACACGGAGCCGTGAGTCACTGTTCAGTGCTCTGGGGAGCATCCTGTGTTCCCCGCGTGGCCGCAGGAAGCTTAGCATAGAACCTGAATCCACCCCTGAGCCCCTCACAGCCTACGTGTTGAGCATCAAAGATTGTGGTAAGAAAAGTACATTTTTCTAATCCTAAATATTCATGAAACGCAGGCTTGGGCGGCAGCCCCCTCCATCTTTACTCTTCAAATGTCTGGCTCGGGCACCATTTTCACAAGATCTCGAAGACGCTTGAATCCAATCGCATGCAAAAACATAACACTTAGATAAGTAGCTTCCACATTAGAAGGCAATTGACAACAGCTCCATAATTCACTCTGAGTGTTTTATGATAAAGCCTTCTTTTGGGGTCATTTCAATGGTTTTCCTATGCCTTGAAGCAGAAAGAAAAGTACGTACCGAGAATCCTGGTTTACCTTCCAGAAAACAAAACATTGACCTTTCCCGTGTTCTCCACTGTACGTAGGCAACGTTGTGTTCATGACTTTGGATAAACCAGACACATGCATGTCACAAACACAAGAGGAAACCCAACTCTCAGAGCATGCGTCTGTTGGTTATACAGTTACTTTCTGAAAAAATGTAAAGTTACATCAGAAGACTCTACTACTGCTGAGATACACGCAGAATTACTGTAACTGACCCTACACTTGGTGACTATGTTTAGGCCAAAGATGTGCTGGTGAAAGGTTTACAGAACGTTATGGTGCAAGTGTGGCACTGTAGCCCCTCCCATGGCAAGTACAAGGATACGGACCCGCTTTCCTTGCCTGGTTCTCCCTTGGCTGATACCAAAGGAGCTAAAACTGTGACCGCAAGCCCTGGTGGCATGGCCACACGGGGGCTGCAGCACGTTTTTCCTCTGCAGTACTTCACTGCTTTGTAGAGCCACGCCCTTTACTTCCACCTGGAGACAAACTCAGACCTAATGCTCACACCCCGTACAATTCACAAGAGGCAGTGGTAAAGGAGCCCTTCCAAGATGCAGTGTTTATCAGTGAGGCCTATTTAGCAATAGCTCCCATTTTAATGTAACAAACCAGGTTGCTGGGCGTTTTGAATGATTCCTCTCCCTAACTTCTTCACAAATGATGGAAATAAAAATCAACACTCAGATTTCTAGAGTTGTACAGGCCTAAGAAATAAGGCGAGTTTGGGTTTCATATGCCACCCCTGGGAAAGCTCACGCGCTTGACAAAGAGTGGGCCCAGAGCCACTTTTCTTCCTACGTCTCGTTACAGTTGTAGCCCCGTGATCCCCCCTTCCAGGGAAGCCCTGGCTCATCGGCCAGGCATTCCGTTTCAAAGTTTATCTCCTGCAGTCTCTTAACAGTTTGTTTTCCTGACACATGCAGTCAGATGCGTAGCCACCAAGAGAAACAATGCATAACATTTTCCATTGTCAAAAATGTGCGTGGGGAGGTTACACTTCCCAGTGTGAATTTTTCCAGCTTCCACATATGGGATGACATCACAGAAACCACAAAAGCAACAAATTAAACCGCATGAGAATAAATACCCCGACTAGTCTCAGAGGGGACATTTTTATGCCTTCTTGACTTCGCTAGGAATTCTCAGGCTAAAACTTCTAAGCCACTGCTCTCTGGCAAGTCAATAGAACACATCAATGTCTCCTCCAAGAGGAAAACTGCCAAGACTTGGGTCTGTGTCAGAATATTCTTAGGAGCCCGCAATTGCCCATGGTGCTGAACAGAGCCTGTTCTGTGCCCACGGGAGTGCCTGAGCGTCCCTCTGTTCCTTAACTCGTGTTTACCAAGCACTCTGAGCCATGGAGACCGGACCACCTAGAGGCCTCAGCTCCCGAGCGGGGAGGCGGGTCTCTCCAGCGCACCTTGACCTGGTGCAGTGTTCCCACAGGAGGCGCATTTAATCGTCAGACTCCACTAGGGAGAGCACTCCCAGGAGCAGGAGGCCCAGGGCACACGTGGCCTGCTCTCGGCAGCCTCAGGCACACACAAGCAACGCACGTGCAAGTTCCACCCGGCCTTCCAGAAGCTTCCCAACACCGACGAAAGCCAGAAGTGTGACCCTCAGGCTGGGGGGGGGGGGGGGGGGAGACCACAGGTACCATCTCTCCTCCTCCGTCTACTGCCACCGCTACTGCCCAGGACTCATCAGCACACCTAGACCCACCTTTCTGCCTTTCCCTGTGTCTCAGAGACAGTTCCCTTCTGGACAAGATCTGATGCTACGTCTCTTCAGTCTCCAAGGGTCAAACCTCTACTTTTGTCACTACTCCAGGTCAGCCAGAGCAGGTTCCGCTGCAGCGTGTGGCTGCCCCAAGGCCCACCAAGCTAGGTCCAGCAGCAGAGTTCCCCTGCAGGCACATGACCTCCCACTCTGTGCCTTGTTCCAGTTAGAAGCGGGGGTCGGCTATGGAAACAAGCTTCGCTGTGATTGCCCAGGTCGCTAGAATCATTCTGAAGTCCCCTCTCGGCATCCAGTGCCTTTAAAACTATTTGGAAACTCTTGACAGTAAAACAAGGACCATGATAAGAAAACTATGCAAGTCCCGTGCAGGGAACGTTTCCATGCAGTGAGAATGTGTCATTCCCCACCCCCCATTTTGTAGAGAAAACCCCTCTTTACTTTTGGGACCATAATGACAGTTTTTAGTCCAGCCACTGCAAGCTTGTTTCATAGGAGAAAGACTAGGAAAAGACAGACTGCGTAAGGAGTCATTGCAATAGTTCAGGAAGGGATAGTGACGATTTAGCACACCCTTAAAGTAATTCTCAATTTAAAGTCATTTGGCAACTCCAGGTTGAAGGCCCTGTAACTCGGCTGTCAAAGGACATCCTATGTCCCCTGTAAGCATCCTATGAAGCTTTAGTCTTTAATTTAGCACATTTTAAATCCAAAGGAATGATTGTTTCATTAAAAAAAATGTTCAATTATGGTTTATGCTGATGGCTATGAGTAGACACCTCAATAGAGCGACGATGGGGAAAACAAATCAGACAAAAAAATCAAAACCTTTTGGGATTCCAGGTCAAGCAGTGGCAGAGCCAACAGTTCTGCACCTTCTATCAGGCCACACTGGTAGATGATGGGAAGGCTGTTTCCATGTGTGTGGCCACTGTCACTGTAACTTTAAAACTTGGCTCCAGGCTGTTTAGCACCGTACAGATTAAAGGTACAGCTACATCAGCTAGCACAGTCATTTTATAGTGCTTCCTTCATGTATCATGCTTTGGTTTGCTAATTTTTCCCACATACCTTTTTGTGTTACAGTCTCTCAATTTTGTACACATTTCTCATATTGGGATCTACAGGTAAACACGACCTGCTATTTCAGTATAAAAAAGACATTGTTAAGAATATTGTATCCAATAAATGGTAAACAGGTAAACACAAAGACAAGTCTCATTTGTTACTGAGTGTGTTACCTGCTTCTGTGTCTCCTTTTTCTATCTGTAGTCTCACATTCACAAATGGGTGCATAAATTGTGCAGTAGTGCACAACAAGCTAAGTAAGAGTGGTCACTGTCAAGCGAGGATAAGGGCATTCTACCCATCTGCAGACACAGGCAGACGGGATGACCACCATGGGGTGGGGCGCCCGGGACAACTGGATACTTTTTTGAGCAAGGTTTAGACAGTAACTCGAAGTAATTTTTTAAACCTCACCTTACTTATGAGAGAAACTGAAAAAGAAAGGAAGTGGTGGTCGATGAGTTTATATCGGATGTACCTAGAATAAAAGTATAAGCATGACAGATCCCTCGTTATGTTTTCAAAATAGCATCCAATTTTATAAAGAATGAACTGTAGAAAATACAAAGTGAAAACATATACACAATAAGAATGAAGGGGTCTTGATTCCTGCAAGTCGCCACATACCACCAAACAGACACACAAATGAGGACACGGGAGATGTCAGACAGCCGGTGCAGTGGGCCAGACTGACACCTATACCGATACTCCAAGTGGGCAAATCTGCCCTCGTTCCAAATGTGCTGGGGCAGGGGTAGAGGAAAAATTCTCAAAGAAGAGTTAGTTCCCTAGAAATATAATTAATTCTTTACTCAAACGTGAATTACAGGCTATCTAGAAAAACAGCAATGAAAACAACATCACAAATGCTAGGACAGCCAGCACCATGTTCACTTGGTTAATCCTCCGCCTGCGGCACCAGCATCCCATATGGGCACCGGGTTCTAGTCCCAGCTGCTCCTCTTCCAGGCCAGCTCTGTGCTGTGGCCCGGGAGGGCAGTGGAGGATGGCCCAGGTGCTTGGGCCCTGCACCCGCATGGGAGACCAGGAAGAAGCACCTGGCTCCTGGCTTCGGATCGGTGCAGCACCAGCTGTGGCAGCCATTTGTGGAGTGAACCAACGGAAGGAAGATCCTTCTGTCTCTCTCTATAACTCTACCTATCAAATGAATAAAAATAAAAATGCTAGGACAGCTTTTTTCAATCCCATGAATCATAAGAACTCACCTGTGGTGCCTGCTGGCCTCCAGTGCTCAGGTGCCGATGCTGTGGCACAGCAGGTTAAGCCGCTGCATGCAATGCCGGCAGCCCGTACCAGAGAGCTCGTTTGAATCCTTTGAAGCCCCCACCTCTGACCCAGCTCCCTGCCAACGCACCTGGGAAAACAGCAGAAGACGGCTCAAGTGCTTGGGCCCTGCCAGCCATGTGGCTTTGGCTTGGCCCTACACCGGCTTTTGTAGCCACTGGGGGAATGAACCAGCAGATAGACGATCTATCACTCTTTAATAAGTAAATCTTTAAACAAACACACACACACACACATACACACTGCTTGCGTCCTTTCCCTCTTTCCATGGGGATTCCAGTTTACAGGGTGTCAGATGAGGCCAGGAACATTTTTTTTTAACTTTTATTTAATAAATAAAAATTTCCAAAGTACAGCTGATGGATTACAGTGGCTTCCCCTCCCCCCATAACTTCCCTCCCACCTGCAACCCTCCCATCTCCCACTCCCTCTCCCATTCCATTCACATCAAGATTCATTTTCAATTCTCTTTATATACAGAAGATCAATTTAGTATATATTAAGTAAAGATTTCAACAGTTTGCACTCACACAGAAACACAAAGTGTAAAGTACTGTTTGAGTACCAGTTATACCGTTAATTCACATAGTACAACACATTAAGGATAGAGACCCTACATGGGGAGAAAGTGCACAGTGACTCCTGTTGTTGATTTAACAACTGACACTCTTATTTATGGCGTCAGTAATCACCCTAGGCTCTTGTCATGGGTTGCCAAGGCTATGGAAGCCTTTTGAGTTCGCCAACTCTGATCTTATTTGACTATTTCCATAGTCAAAGTGGAAGTTCTCTCCTCCCTTCAGAAAAAGGTACCTCCTTCTTTGAGAGACCAAGAACTTTCTAGCTAGCAAAGACCTCCAGTTGAGTCTTTTCCTCAGGAAAGTGGAGGAGAAATATTTCGATGGTAATATAACTAAGGGAGCAATGAGGGGAAAATATATATCCCTAAATATCAATGAACAAAACAGATAAAAATGAGTGAACTTAAGTGTATAACATTAAAAAGTCAAAGAACGAGGGGCAGGTGTTTGCCATGGGGGTTAAGCTGCTGCCTGGGATGCCCGCCTCCCTGTTGGAGTCCCTGGGTTCAAGTCCTGGCCCCTCTCTGCATTCCAGCTTTCTGCTAATGTGCGCCCTGGTAAGTATGAGGTGATGGCTCAGGTACCGGAGTCCCTACCTCAACATGGGAGACCTAGATGGAGTATAGTCTGACCCTGTCCAAGCTGGAGAGTGAACCAGAATATAGGCTTTCTCTCTCTCTTCCATCTCTCTCAAATCAATTTAAAAAAAAAAAAGTTAAAACCAGAAGAAGTGCATCTGTGTACATAAAATTCTAGGGTTAGCACTGTGGTGCAGCAGGTGAGGCTGCTGCTCACCACACCAGAGTGCCCGTTCAAGTCCCAGCTGCTCTGCTTAGATCCAGCTTCCTGCCGATGCACCTGGGAAGGAGCAGACAGCCAAATCCTCGGACCCACGTTGCCCATGTGGTAGACCCAGATGGAGCTCCCGGCTCCTGGCTCCAGCTTGCCCAGCCCTGTCTGCTTTGGTCATTTGGAGAATGAATTGGTGGATGGACGTGCTTGCTCACTCTGTCATGCTGCCTTCCAAATAAATAAATCTTTAAAAAGAAATAAAAAGTATGAGCTAATCAGAGAAAATAGAATTAATAAAAATGTGAGTAGCTCTTAGTGAAAATTAAAACAGGATATAAACCACCTTGTAAACTCAGTAAGCAAAAAGAAAAGAGCAAATATGCATAGCACGTGAGCGTATGTATGAGTTCGAAAAGTTCATGGAAGAAATGGAATTAAAATATCTAAACCTTGTTCATCTAAAAGCTCTGTCCAGTGTGAAATACTTTTCCAGGCGATGATACCAGAACTTCCGTTTTCATTCCTGAAGCGCAGAGGGTGCTGGGAGTGTACTCGCGTCAGTGGAACCTTCTCTACATCATCATCTGAAGAGGAGAATGTCACGAAGTGTGTGCCCCACGCAGACGCTTCTCACAGCAAAGGGAACAGGAGAGTGGACAGAACACAAGCAGGCTTAGGTATCTGCAAACTCTTCACCTGACACAAAGGAGCACTCAGAATATGTAAACACACAAAAAACCTGATTGAGAGATGAGCAGAGGATCCAACACGCACATCTCAAGGAAAGACGTGCAAGCGGCCAGCAGTACCTGGAAAAGTGCTCGGTACCGCAGCTGTCAGGGAAATGCAAATCAAATCCACAACAGGTGTCCTGTCACTCTAAAATGGCTATTACTGAAGACACACAAAGGCTGGTGAGGACGCAGAGAAAGGGGAGCTCACAGAGGAGACTGAAGACCCACCAGCGCGAACAAGACGGAGTTTCTTCCGAATCTAAAAGCAGGTCTGCTGTATGACCCGGTTATTCCACTTCTGGGAATCTATCCAAGGGAAGTGAAGTCAGCATGAGAGTTACCCGCATGCCAGTGTCCGCTCCAGCACTGTTCACAGTCACCAAGAAAAACAATCAACCCTGGTGTCCATCAGCAAGTCGATAGGTGCAGAAAATTTTACGTACACAGTGAAATAATACTCAGCCACCAAAAAGAATGAAACCCTGACGTTTGCAGCAAGATACTTGTACTGGGAATTATGTTAAAAGAAGTCGAAGTCGGCCGGCGCCGCGGCTCACTAGGCTAATCCTCCGCCTTGCGGCACCGGCACGCCGGGTTCTAGTCCCAGTTGGGGCACCAGATTCTGTCCCGGTTGCCCCCTTTCCAGGCCAGCTCTCTGCTGTGGCCAGGGAGTGCAGTGGAGGATGGCCCAAGTGCTTGGGCCCTGCACCCCATGGGAGACCAGGAGAAGCACCTGGCTCCTGCCATCGGATCAGCGCGGTGTGCCAGCCGTGGCGGCCATTGGAGGGTGAACCAATGGCAAAAAGGAAGACCTTTCTCTCTGTCTCTCTCTCTCTCACTGTCCACTCTGCCTGTCAAAAGAAGAAGAAGAAGAAGAAGAAGAAGAAGAAAAGAGGCCGAAGTCTACATGTGCGTAGAATTTTTTGTGTATGTGCCAGTCATCTACACACAGTGGATCTGAATGTCGCTCAGCTGTTTGAGACGCTGATGGTGCTGGCGGAGGCTGCTGTTTTAAGTGTTAGCATCCTTCAATTGGGACACAAACAAGACTTTTTCCTGTGAAAGTTAATGTAGATGGTCCATGGCTGCAGGCTTCCTCTTCAACATCATCTATCCCTTCTTAAAATGGGCTATCCATTTGTAAACTGCTCATTCCTCTGGGGCACTGTCCCTCTAAACTTTCATAAGGCGTCCATGATTTCACCAGGACTAAGCTCTGCTTCTTAAAGAGACTTTCAAAATCTGCTCTAGCAAATCTAAAAAAACAATATGCATTTGCACAAAAAATGCTAATGAAGCATCTAAGGACAGGACTTCACATCGCCCAAAAACCCACTTCTGAGGCAAACACTACGAAGCCTGCAGAAAGCAGGAGGCTGCCAGCATCAACAGAACTGCCCCTTCCCAGAGCTGTGGCTTCCGTTCCCTTTAACTGATCTCTCCCTAGAGACAAGCACGTGCCTCTCCAGACCTACGCAGCCGGTTTACTCATGGGGCCACGTTAACGGCTTGTCTCTGAAGACAAAAAACGCATGTGGTCCCTGCCGAGAGTTCACGCGTTTGCAGAGCTAAAGCCCCACCACCTTTGAGTCTCTAAGCTCCAACCGGCGGGCTCCGTCAATGAACGCACGCTCGGCGTGTCTGCTGCAGACACCCAATTTAATATACTTCCCTTTGGGCCCGTGGTCACGCCTTCATCCTCAGGGACGAGCACTCGCAGCAGGTCTGTTCCGTG